AACTGGTAATTCGTTCAGATATCCCTTTCCACTTTCCAGTATGGGCATATTTTCTGTAGTTTAGATAATGACAGGAACTTTGAATTGTGTTTAACAGTGTTTTTTTCCTATTTTCTAGATAAATTTCGTTTTAGGAGTTATTTTATAATTTATGCTATGTTAGAATGTATAATAAGACAATGAGTTGGCCATTCTAAAAGCAGATTTACCGTTCATATTTGTTCATGTTATTTCAATTTTATTCAGTCATTTCTAACATTGTTTGGAACAGCTATTTGTCGTAATTCATTATCTTTAAAGTCACTAATAAAAACAACAAATATACGTTCATACACTTTGTAATTCTCTGACTGTTGACTGCGGAGGTCGAAGGTGCAAGAGGCGAACCATTGTCCATTAGCCCCGTCGTTGATGACATCAATAAAATAGACTTGACGACAGGAGATCATCGTGCTTCGCAGATCGATCATCTAGGACAAACAAGGCTACACGCCCCCTGCCCATTTGATGTTCACTGACAGTAGTCATTGTCAATCTGTAGTCAATAACTAATGAAAAACGTGATATACCGGGCTAAGGATTTGGATTTAAAGGTTCCGAACCCCGCGACGCAGAGAATTCAACGCAAAGCCCTTCGATGATATCAATTCAGCACATGTGAAAATTTCAACTGATACAACATAACGGAAGACGAAGCAAAAAACGTTTTAAAGGTGCAGCAGCGGTATAAAACACACTCAGGAGGGAACGTCCCCCAAGTGTCCAATCGCGTTTTGATCGAGACTATTTTCGTTAGATAGATTCGTTAGTCTATCTAACGATAGTTTTCATTACTCACTAGGGTCTATCTAACGCAAATAGTCTCGATCAAAAAGCGCGAACATTGATGTTTAGTGACTTCAAACTTTGTGTGATGCAGGTATGCACCAGTTCTAGTTTTTAACTGTAAGAACTGGAACTGTCAGAAACTACAGGGTCGGAAAAATGTTTTTCCAGGGGGTACCGCTCAAACTACAAATGATATCACAGAGTATTATATATCAAATTAATGCCCATTAAAAATGAAATTTATGAGTATACTCGATAGTCCATACAGCGATAACTGGCTCTTGAAATATGAAAATCTCTTGAATCCTATGGTTAAACGCGCTCGTGTTTTACGATTTTCATTCTTCTGGTACATATTTTGACAAAACGTGATCTCCATGAAAAACTGAATCTATGGACATGTCATTTGAATATTTTTGACGAAAAGCATTTTTTCGAAAAAATCTTGGGGAGTACCTCAGAAAAAAAATTCAAAAAAGCTTTTTGTCTGGGGTACTCCCCAAGATTTTTTCGAAAAAATGCTTTTCGTCAAAAATATTCAAAGTATTTTACTTCGTCTTCCTTTATGTTGTATCAGTTGGAATTTTCACATGTGCTGAATTGATATCATATAAATAAAAAGCAAACACACGGGGTTTTCTTTCGCTGAATAATCGTACCATATGGCAGTTGTCATCGGCCGAAATGAGGTTGGCATCAAACGGACGACCCGTCCAACGACCATAGCCAACAATGATGTAGCTAAACTGATGTATTATCTGAATTGTGTTTGTGAGACAATCAATTGCGATCAAGATGAAGATATTCGTCGTTTCACAAACTATGCCAATTGGGCACGATTGTCCGCTGAGCAACGGAAACTCCTTCTTGTCCTCTGCTACACGTTCAGTCCAGATGTTTTTGACGGCAAAGTTTTCTTTAACATAGAAGAGCTCTGCGTTGAATTCTCTAACGAATTTTACGAAATCAGCCAATTACGTCATCGACTCGTTGCTGTCGAATCGATTATCATAGCTGGTCGAGCACATCAGGTGACTAAAATCATGACCTACACAATGTCTTGGATGCGAGCATATTATCTTGAGCCCATGCAACGGCTAGCAAGACAATTTGCAGCCGAATCATCACGGCCATCGTTGTCAGCACCACATCGGCAACGACAGTCGACAAGACCAGTACCGGCACCATCCGTGGACAGTAGTTGCTGTTGTACTATTCTATAAAACAATCTTTCTTTCGTTTTCTTTTTTTTACTTGTCAACACAGTTCATAAACATTAATCAACAAAGTATGAAAGGTATTTGAATTTTTTGAATAAATCGAGTCGCGAAAAAGCGATGCAGCTTACCGATGTCGAAAGGACTATACAAGTATGGTATATGCGTAAACAAATTTTCGTTTTATTTTCGCTGCGAAGACGCGAGAAATCGTTGATGATAATGATGAATCAATAGCACGATGACTTAGTTTCCAACGGATCAAGAATAAAACGATTCTGAACGTTCAGAAAATATTACTTGAAAACATTGTTTAAACGTTTTTCCTGAGATTGCTTTTGGTAGACTTACTAATGAAAAATAGATTGCTCGAGAAATTAAATGCGTTTTTTTCCAGCATAGGAAAACTGAGAGCTTCCGTGGGTTGTATTATCCATGTTTCGAATATTTTGACTATGAACAAAAATAAGTATCAATCCTTCTTTTCTTCCTCAGTGATAAAATATGTTTTATATGAAAAAATAACGGAGTAAATAAATGAAATGAAATTTATTTTTATAAAATAAAGATAAGTGAGTCTTATCTTTATCTTTAAAAAACAAAGGTAAAATAAAGATTTTATTTTTGCTGTTTTCAAATAAATTAAGGACGAGGGAAGTCTTAGTATGTCATCGTTGATGCCCTCATCCTCAGCTCGAATCCTGAGCTACTTATTCCTCTTCAATTGTCTGAATAAGTGGTTTTAAGTCATGATGAATTATGCAGATCAACTAAAACTAATCTAGCTCCAAAAGAGAAGATTAAATAAAACCTGTGCAGGAAGTTATAATCAAGCAAGCGAAGAGAAAGTGTTTGGATACCGGCTCGATCTGAAAATTTGTTCAGACATAACCTGGTTCTGTGCTGCTTAGCATCTCAATCCAAAGTTGAGAATCTTGAAGAGACTGGACAAAAGAAATCTCTGATCTTAAAAAATCTGAGTGTGAGTGCTTTATCGTTTCTGCCGTATTTGTTTGTATTATGGTTTTAAAGGAAACAATGTGGAAATGTGACACAGTGTGCATCCAGGTATGCATTAGGTGAAAATATAAATACTGACTTATGAACGGTTTAAACAGTACGGGGTCCTCTCAGTTCGTCCCAAACTGACTTCTCAATTCATCCCACGAAGTTTTTTTCTCAGTTCGTCCCATCAACACTTCTCTGTCCAGATTTCTATGCTGGCGCCTCAAAATAAATAAAGTGTTGTACCATCGAACAGTTTAGTCGACGGCGATGGGTATTGTACACAAGACTAGGTGCGCGTACGTGGCAAAATGTGTCGTGTTAGCCACTACTATCACAAATTTAAGGGCCACCCCTTCAGAAATTATCTCCGATACCGTACATCTGATCTTGACGAAACTTTCCGTAAATGTTCGGCACACTGAGTTACGGGAATGAAAAATTTTTTTTGTCCAAGTCTTACGGTTTAGGAGTTCCAGAGATCAAGCTCCAAAAAGGACCCTGAAGTGCGTCCCAAGATTATCTAATATACTTCAAGCTGGAGAGTTCGGGTTTGTTTTATTTTAAACCAGACACCTAACTACATCGACCGACCGACGCTGATTTATCAATTAAGCCTTTATTGGTTTTCCAGGCAACCAACAACCTCCAAAACTCGAAAAAGCCTTCCGAATTTTCTAAAAATCCTCAGTTTGACAAAAAACTAAGGTCTAATTCCAAAATCGACGTCGGTCAGTCGATGTAGTTTCTTTTCCTCTTTTAAACAAAAAAAGAATGAACTCTCTACGACAAACCGCTATTAAAAATCTTGGGACGCACTTCAGGTGTGACTCTTATGTAGTGAAAACGCTGTATTAAACGCTATATGAAATACTCGATTTTAGGACTTCCAGGAAACTGCCTGTAACTTTTTGATGCAAGGTCATACAGAGTTGTGCAAGGTTTTATTTTGATCAGAAACGTTTGCTCTACAAATCTGTGTGTTCAGAAAAATTTTAATTGTATAAGTATCTAGGAAAAACCATTATTTGAAGATCCATTTTTCCGAGGCTCCTAGAAAACTTGCCCAAATCCCCGAAAAGCCAGTTTTGTAACCAAAACCAATACAGATTCTTGCAGTAGACACTTCAGGCTATCTTTCCATGTGCGTATCTCAAAACCGATTTTTTGACCGAAAATCACCATTTCTGAGAGGGGGGACCCTTAAATCCAAATAAGTTAAATTGATTTGTTCATCAAAATGCTAGTCGTAGTTAGTAGTAATGTTATTTAATGGCGTTAGAAGTTTTGTCACGAAGTTCAACTATAGTGGAAAATTAGCTAATTAAAAATTAGCCTGAAAATAGCATGATGGTCAGAAAAATTAATTTTACACAAAAATGACTAGTATAGTTAGCAAATGTTCTGTAAATTCTAAGTCTCCGCAGCATTTGGTGTATATTAATAAAAGAAATTTCAGTTTGAGCTAAAGAATGCCGAGAAAAAAAATAAAAGTTTTTCGTAAGTGGTTTTCCAAACAGCTAAGTTCAGTACAATGAGAGCCTCCTTCACATCCCTCTTTGGACTTGAACCAAACTTTGCCAGAATGTTCTCGTATATGAAAATTATCACCACAGTTAGCACAAATTAGCTCAAATCTTCATGGGCTTAGATAGTGGTTTTCCAAAAAACCCTTGGTTTGCAGGTGTTTTCCGTTTATCCCGGCCTAGAAATGATTTTATTCAATAAAAATAGCATATTCAGAATTAGCGCAAGAAATTGCATCGAATGATGTGCGATTAGTAGATTTTTCTGAGCAAAAACTTGTCGGATCTGACGAAACGCTAAAGTCGAAGCATAGAGCGACAGTTTTGGCTAAGGATTTTGATGTTTGCTGTACAAGCAATCCGAAAGCCTACAAACACTTTTTCACAGGTTTTCAGATATGATCTTTCCAATGGTGTGCTTTATAAAAGTCCAGAATACTTATGTGTAGGTTTTCTAGAGATCCGATCTCTGGAGAACCCAGGTGAAACTCTCTTTGAACTTTGTAAAGCATACCATTGGAAAGAGCATATCTGAAAACCTGTGAAAGAAGTATTTGTAGTCTTTCGGACTGCTCCTATAGCGAATATCCGCCTGGCCTATAGAAAAATGCACACTGTGTGTGAGGGGCGTCTCACTTTGTAGCTAAAGTTGGCTAGTCGAATGTATGATCAGTTCGATTTACTCAATCTTCTTTGCCTTACAATCGAAATGCTAATAACCGCGAGAAAGTCCAAACTTTTATTTTAAACTTACTGTATTTTAATCATAAAACAAAGACGATTGAGTGAATCCAATTGATCATAGAGTGGATTTTGACTAACACACTTTCAGCCACAAAGCAAGATACTCCTCATATTTGTAGCATGTTTCTTTTCAATACTATAATACTAACAAAAAGAGCAGAAACAGTAACGCAATCACACTCCGGTAGCAGAGTTAAGCGATTCAGCCGTGTAGTTATTTAGAATAATTTGTTGTCGAATAGTATCAGTGCCTTGTGATTTCTAAAAGTCTGATTAACAGAAATTATTTATTACATTTTTTGCATCACGGTATGCTTTATCAATCCACTGAAAAAGATAATCAAAATCCATGCAGGATCCTGCTGGACGTTGCGCAGGATCCCGCGGGTTATCGGTATTAAAATATCTGGCGATGTTTCTTACCTTTACGCAGGATTTCTATACTGCTAGCCCTGACAAAGTCATTTTGTATACTCCATGATAGAATTTAACTGTTTAATGGAAAAGCTTTTGCAAAGAAACAATACTCATGAATGAAACAATGGCAAGGATCTGACGAAACGAGAGGCTGAAAGTTTACAACAATTGTGATAATAAATTGAAGGAATATTTTACACGATATGAAAATGGTCCTTTGTCTGGAACTGAACTTGCAATTAAATGTGGCAAATGTCTTAATACTTTAAAATTACCTGTTTCATTGTAACTCGTAAATAAAATAATAAATGTAACTTATAAAGCCATGTATCAATTTCTTACATTATCTTAATGAATTATATTAATATTGATTAGTACACAGTTGATAGAAAAAAAATGAATAGTTATAAAATGACTAGAATGCTAGAAAATAAACGGAACGAAACAAGTATGGGACGAAATGAGAGTAATCCCTTTGAATACTCTGTTGAATGGTACATAATTTAAAAACTTCGGTAAAACATTGATGAGTTATAGTTACAAATATTAAGGTACACATTTCCGGAAGTTTATTCGATACGAGAAAAGCTTGTATGACTTTACAAGAAAAGATGCAGAAGTACTTAACTTGCCAAAAATAAAAATACAGACAAGTTCCTCCACAGACAAGTTCACCCTACACGGATATTTGTGAGAAATAATGTCATAAAGAACCGCTTCCTTAGTTTCTAAACTTCACTCTAATGGTAAAATTCATATCGTCAAATAGTAGTAGTCTTTAGCTATAAGAGATGGTCATTAAAAAATTAAGTTCTTGTGAGAACTCCTTCTCATTGTGGAACTTGTTCCCGTTCATTCGTAAAGTAAACTACTTCCACTGTAATTCAAACAATTCGGAAAACGTTTTTGATGATCCGAATTATCAGAAAACTGAAAAAAGCTGTCGAAACTTCTGGATTTCATCTGGCTTTACGCAATAGAGATTTCTTTTGCCCAGTCTCGCCAAGATTCTCAACTTTGGATTGAGATGCTAAGCAGCACAGAACCAGGTTATGTCTGAACACATTTTCAGATCGAGCCGGTATCCAAACACTTTCTCTTCGCTTGCTTGATTATATATAATCGCGACAGACGGACAACAGCCCCTATACCTCAGTGGTAGAGCGCCAGTCTTGTAAACTGGAGGTCCGTAGTTCGATCCTGCGTGGGGGCATTTATTTTTATGTCTGTTTTTTAGAACGAAAAATGTGAGGATATAGATCCTCTAGTGGCTAACTCTAATCGTAGTAGTGAAGCTATAGTGAGAATCAACTC